CGCTACCAGTAACAAGTGCCTTACTAGTAGTAACAAGAAGCTAGTAGCTGCGTAGCACTGTCAAACTGCATGGTTTGAGGATCCTCGCATTGCCGACATTGCCGCTGACACCCAATGGCAAGATCGACAAACCGCGTTTGCTGGCCGAAACCTGCGCTAAGGTGCCGCTTATTAAAGACAAACACGACTGCAGACCGAAACAAGACAATTCATCGAAAGAGTTGCAAATTGTTGTACAGGGTGGCACCTGCTTGAATATGAGAAGCAGTTTTTGAACAGATGCACTGCATGTTTACACTGTTTGGGGCGTGTTTTTGTCATTCCGTCAGGCAGTGGACAACGACCAGGACCTGAACATATTTGTTGCCCCAGAGTCCTCACTTGAGCGCGCGCTGGCGGCCTGAAACTCAGTCCGCGCGCGTAGGGGCCGACGGCCAAAGGAGTAACTTAGTCGACGGCCAAGTCCGGTGCGCATCGCACATGGAACTGCGTCGAGGCAGCAGCTGCAGAGGCACTAGGCTTGGAGAAGATGGGAGTGACCACGGACCTGCGCACTGCATGGCACTGAGGGTGTTGCTTTGGAGTAGAAAGGGGAATAGAAAACTGATATCCGCCCTGAGGCAGGCATGACCTTCTTGAAAGCTGTCCTTTTGTCTCAAAAGCTGCGCGAGATGGGTCAGCGGCTTTGTGGGTGGCGCTGTCGTTTGGCACACTGCATAGTGCGAACGGTTCGAGAACGACGTGCTAAGCCGAAGTAGTGGTGGAGTGGCAGCAGCAGTGTCGTATAAAGGGAGTAGCAGTGTCGTTGTCGTCGCAGTGTTAGTGCTAGAGGTATAAATATATATATATATTGGTAGTAGTAGTAGTAGTAGTAGGTGTTGTCGTTGTTGGTGGTGGTGTAAGACTTCCAAACTGTAAGAAACAAAACACAAGATAAGGGGTAGGGCAGAGTGTTTAGGGGGACCAGCCCTTGTGGGGGCTACTCTGCAACTTCAAGAATCTCTACTCAGCAATTTGCAGGAAGTTCTCAACAAATAGCCAACCGGTCATGCCACGGCAAAGAAGCCAGCCAGACATTTGGCCTCCCCTTCCTACTTGGACCCTGTCAGCAACCACATTAGCACGTCGTGCTCACGTACATTGCCAGCTGTATTGCCCAGACGGCCACATCACAGCAAGTGTGGTTCCTCCGTATTGTAATTGTAATTTCTAGCGAAGGAATCTACTAGGAGCTTCTTGTTACTACTAGTAAGGCACCTGTTACTAGAAGCGTGGCACTTGTTACTACTAGCGATGCACCTGTTACTAGTAAACGTGGTTGATGCTGTATACGCCATGCAGCCATGCAGCATGGGTGGCATGTCGTGGAATCATATCGCTTTAAACGTGTTCCGAGCTACGACAGCTACGACAGCGACGAGCTTTTGTTCCAATTCTTTGCTTTGAAATTGCCCACAGCAAGATTTGGGCAGGGTCGTGGAATCAAACTGAGATTGGCTGTAGAAGAAGCAGTTGGGAATGGCAGCATGAGTAATAGATCACCCCTAGGAGCAAGGATGCTACTAGGAGCTCCACCCCTAGTCTCCTTTAAAACTTGACGTGGCCCCTTTGAAATTTGACTTGCTTGGCTGGTTCGGATTAAGTGGGGTTTCTAACACACGCAAGCATATTCATGGATTCATGGATTAAATTTGGATGAATTTTGGAGGCTGTTTTGGCTCGGGTTAACTAGGGGGGGGTTTATTAATAATGAATGTTTGCTTTACATTATGTTCCAACCGCAATTCTTCCAAAGTCAACTCTACACCGACCCACCTTGAGAAACGCGGCCCCGCCCTCAACAGCCCATTCAAACCTGAGCATAAGTGGCCGCGTGCGCAACAGTGCCAAGAGTAGAACTCTTTGAGTGGACCTACTAGCTAGAAGCGCAGCTAGAAGCTACTAGTTACACTACTAGTTACTAGGTTGGAGGCGTTGACCCCGAAATGTTTGACGAAACAGCCTCAACAGCTCAGGGGTTTGCTCTGGCAGGAGCGCTTGCAAGATTCTTGGAATCATGTCTAATGTTTTCTAATGTTCTTTAATTTGTTTTTGTTTGTTGACTGTTTTGATGAACCTTCATGAGCCTACCTCTGATGAGCCTACCTGTTCTCACAAAAGAAAGAAGCATTGAGACTCATTGAGGGGCCCGTACCCCATACAGTGTGTATGAGATGATGTCCTAGTGTCTAGCAGGTTACAGCGCACGCATCCTGCAGTTCTGCTGCGCTGGTTTTGAACATTCGGTTGAGCAAACATGGAATTGAGGCGTCCAAGAGTGGGAGCCACACTGACAACGAAAGGGCTTCAAATTCCATCCGTTACTTGTTGCATCCGGGTGCCCAGGCGACGTTTGATGTGTGTTTCATGATGTGTGGTCTGTGTGGTAATGTTTGAACTTGTGATGTGGTGTGTTTCTGTGTGGTGTAGTGAACGTGATTTGTGATGTGACACAATGTTGTGGCGATTAGTGGGGTGAATCACCTTCGAAACTTGGCTGTTCGATCATCTTCGCCCGACGGGGATGCCTTGTCCGGACGACTTTGTATGGCCTCGTTGCGACACTCTTCGGACGGTTCTTCCGAAGGAGGCCAGAACGAAAACAGACTCTTTGGAGAAGACCCTGAACATGCCTTCAAGAAGCCTTCCCAAGAGTTTCTCCTCATGTTTCGCAGCTGGGTGCACTCCCCATGCAAGAGACGCGCTTCTTTTACAAGAAAGTTACCATGGCGAGCCAGCTTGCAATTGATGATATACCATATATGTTCACCGCGTGTTGTCATCTCTTCCAAGTTGGTCTGCAGGTTTGGATGTGTTTTTGTGCTTCTTGCTCCTAGTAGCGAACCTTGTTACTAGTAGTAAGGCCAGGAGCCCCTAATAGCTTCTTGTTCCTGCTATCTCGTGCCGTTTGATGTTGGATGAGGCCTGACGATTCCACTCCGTGGGCTTTATGAATTGCAAACGGTTAGGGCCATTGCTGAGCATCTCGCGACGCAGGACTGTGTATCGGTTCTTTTTCAGCGTGTTTGTGTCGGGTGTGGAGATGGTGTCGAGTGTCTTGCACGGAATGATATCACAGTCATTACGTGTCTTTTTTTTGTTTTTGTTTACTTATGCTTAAGTAATGTGTCTTGCAGTAATGTGTCTTTACTTATGTGTCTTGTGTGTAAAGTGTCTTGTGTGTATCTTGTTCGACGTACGGAGCACGTCTTGTCTGAGTCGAGGACACAGCTGCCCCCCTCCATTCAGGTGAGTATCCGAGAGGATAAACGGAATTCTAATTAAATTCATATTGTTTCTAATGGC